TGTACTCTTGAAAATGTTGATAATTATGGATGACACCTTACTAGATAAATTTTTGCTTTGAGGATGAGGTTGCAATAATATTAGGTGTTGGTCATTAAGATTTGTCAATTTTCATGAACTTAGGGAGAAGTGAGAAACTTGGACTAACTGGATGCCCAGTGCAATCTGTAGGACTTCTCAGTACAAGCAAGCTTTATGTCCTACATGGAAAGACAATGGCATTTGTTCCACAGGTATGTTAACTTAAATTGTTTATTTTGTGATTTGGGCCATTCCTTCCACAGGTATGGTATTTGTAATTTAATGTGGTTAAGGTTAAGATTTATTGTTGTTTTTTTTTAGTTTTTAGACCAGCAGCAGTTTTACTTGGCTCTTGATGTAAATCTCCTGGTGGACATCTTCAAACACGATGTAGCGTACCTCCGCTACAATTGGCGTGAGGTCGGCCGTCCAACCTTAGTCATGACAGTAACACACAGCATGTTCGGTAAGTAAGCAGTACACAAAAATGTAGTAAATATGTAGGTAACTATAAAACACTATAGAAAATATATGAAATCTGTAAATTACATCCAGTTTGATTCTTTTATTGTGACCTTAACAAATATTTAAAAGTAAACATAAAAGAAGGTGATTTTACCTCAGCATTGGCTATCAATGAATACTTTTATATATTAGGCAGTGGTATATAATGTGTTTAAAAGACACCAGTTTATCTCTAAAAAAGAAGCCTTGTAAACTTTGTGTATGACATTCATTTTAATCATAATTTACATTATGGATGTCATATCACAACATATATATGAGTGACAATGTGAAAATCACATTAATGTGTGGACAACCAGATACCCATTTATACTCCTGGGTGGAGAGATCAGACGTAGATAAAGTACTTTTTACAAGAATACAAGTGAAATGCACAGCGACGGTTAGATCCCCCGACATTCAGGTTGAGAAACTGAAGTGCAACCGGTGTGCTAACTGCTTCCATTAGGGAAAGGTAAAAGGGCTGGGTGGGAAGGTCAAAGTGCTGGGTGGGAAGGTAAAAGGGCTGGGTGGGAAGGTAAAAGGGCTGGGTGGGAAGGTCAAAGGGCTGGATGGGAAGGTAAAAGGGTGGAAAGGAACTTGCCACCCTGCCCCACAATGCTGAGGCTTAGTAACAGCTCATTCCCGTACGTTCAGTATGAATATGGGACTACATTTACCTTAGTGTGGACAAAGGTTTACTGAACTTGTTGATTCGCCTACGTTCAGTAATGAATACGGGACTACATTTACCTTAGTGTGGACAAAGGTTTACTGAACTTGTTAATTCGCGTACGTTCAGTAATGAATATGAGACTACATTTACCTTAGTGTGGACAAAGGTTTACTGAACTTGTTGATTCGCCTTCGTTCAGTAATGAATACGGGACTACATTTACCTTAGTGTGAACAAAGGTTTACTGAACTTGTTGATTCGCCTACGTTCAGTAATGAATACAGGACTACATTTACCTTATTGTGGAGAAAGGTTTACTGAACTTGTTGATTTGCCTACGTTCAGTAATGAATACAGGACTACATTTACCTTAGTGTGAACAAAGGTTTACTGAACTTGTTGATTCCCCTATGTTCAGTAATGAATACGGGACTACCTTTACCTTAGTGTGGACTTTACTGGACTTGTTGATTTTCCCAGAGAATAAACAACTCCAGTCTGCACTTCTAGCAACAATTCGTAAAGTTCGTACCGGGTACTTCAATGGAGTCCAGGTTCTGATGCGAAGTCTGTCCGAGTTCCTCAGCACGGCTTGCGTCAATCAACTTACATTTTTAGAAACCTCAGGTAAGTGACATCATAATATCACCCCATCATCATTGTTACCACTTCATTATTCATCATCATCCTACCTATCACCATCATCATCAACATCATCACATCAAAATCATTATCATTTTATCATTGTCATCTTTTTTATCACCATCATTGTCTTCATTACAACAGCACCATCACCATCATCAACATCATCATCATTATCTTGTATCACCATAATCACCATTGTCATCATTTCCTAATCACCATCATCATCTTTTTCATCATAGCATCATAATCATCATCATCATGATCAACCTCATTGTCATCATCATCTTCATCATCATCCTCTTTATCATCATCATTTTCATCATCATCATCATCTTCATTTTCATCATCGTCATCATCCTCATCATCATCATTGTTATAATCATCTTCACCATCATCACCATCTTCATTTTCATCATCATCATCATCGTCCTCATCATCATAATCACCATCTTCATTTTCATCATCCTCATCATTGCCATATTTATATCACCACCGATATCATGTCATCATTGTTGTCTTTTTGACTGCTATTAAAAATATATTTTGACAATGTTTCCTGGTCTACTTGCTCTTGCTATGTTTAATTAAATGAAATTGGGTGATTAGCAAGATCTGATATGACTTTATTCATCAGCAAAAACTTCCCTTATTAACGAAATGAACGAGTCCACCCCCTTGCTGAATCTCCCAAGTGTGAAACATGTAGCTTCATTGGAACATAATCCCGACTGGAACCGGAGAACCGAAGTGTTGCGCAAACGACGCCTGTCTGGCACCGTTCATCAGTTACTTCAGCGGACACGGTCCATTGATTTGAGCGAAGGGTCAGGTAGGAATGTAACAAGCTGTATTAGATGGAATGGCAGATGCAATCTTAGATACACAGAAGCAATGTGTGCCGAGATCTTGCAAGCTGCCATTGCTTTCACAGCTCACTTTGACCTTTGACCTTTGCTGTTTCTGCTTGCACATACCCAATATTTATTTTACAGGTGGAAACTAACACACTATGTTGCATGCTTGTGTTATGTTCATTCAAATACCCTAACTATGTAGTTCATGTTGCATGTGCTTGGTGCATATAGTATGTCAGTACTTTGCTTGCAAATGTATTAAGAGCTTTTTTTTTTTCAATTTTTCAAATTATTTGTAACAATTTTAGGAGCTTTAGAGAGTATTGTACAGTCTTTGGAAATATTGAATGATAATGATAGTTGCCCAATGCCTTTCTTGCCCAACGTAACGTATGTAAATCCAGAAGTGGATCCAGAGCTCGAATTTATTTCAAGCGCTTTTCAACGTTCGCCACCACATCCGAAAAGTGCAGTGTCAGGCATCATCCAACAAACGCGTGTTATTGGCCGTCCTTATTCAAAGAATGCAGGTATACAAAACCCAATTTAGTTTTTTTTTTCTATTAAATTAAAGAGTAGATTAATTTAAAGTGACATAGCTCGGTGGTTGGAGTGCCCATCCTCCAAACACAGTGTTATGGGTTCATATCTTGTAAGCATCTTTTATTCAAGACATTTCATTTCAGTTATTTATCCAGCAAAAATAATATAGAGCAAAAATCATTCTTTGATCATTCTCTTTTATTTTATTTGTATTACAACTTTATTTATAGAGGGTAGCCCTTCCAGCTGAACCAAAATGCCAGTTAGTGTTCAGGGGCCGTCTCTTTTAAGTAATTCACTAGGAAATAACACATTGGGAGGGCGGGGGGAGGAAATGGGAATATGATCACATCCACATGATAAATGCGATTTGCCCAAGAATGAGAGAAAACATGCACACCTGTTTGTTCCTGAAGCTATTTAAGGCCTATCTTTTTTCATTCTCTTCATCTTCACACAGAGGTTTCCAAAAGTTTTGCATTAATTATGGTTATTATTACTTTTATGATTGTTGTTTAAATGTCGCATAGAATGTCATCACCATCGGGTACACTACACTTGCGAGTTCATTGGCCATAGCGGTTAGTGCAGGGACGCCACAACCTTCAGCCATAATATGGGTACTGTTTTGAACGGCACAGCCTATAATGGTTCTGGTGGTTAACAATTCTTCTTGGATAAGGACTGTAAACCGTAGGCCCAGTTTACACAGTCTGGCTTGTGTTCACTTAAAAGAACTCATTTTTTGAGACAAGAAGGGGGTTACCCAGGTGTACTGGTTCATACAGCCTCAGTTTTTTATCAAAGAAAATTTGATAGTGTGAATAGAGTTTAAAATTTTTCTTGAAAAAATTGTTTAAACCATGCATTAATTTTAATTGAATAGATAGTCACACATTAGAACATCCATTTGTTTGTAGTTTTTAGTATTCTTGGCAAATACTATG